AGAAATGCTTAGAAATTAATGGTGACCACTACTGTGTCATAAAACCCAGCCACAGATAGATTTATCTGTCTAAAGATCAGTGGAATTCCCAATCAATATATGTTGTGGGCACTTATAAAGTGTACGGTGTGGTTTTTTTTTTCCTACTGTCTCTTTCATCTTTGCAGTCTGGTTGATCAAATATTATGAAAAATGGCTTTATGTTCCTTATTTCCATTATTGGTATGACACAGTAGATTCAGTGGAAGCAGTATTGAATACATGCAGAATAAGCAAAGTTTAGAGAATTAAAAATAAAAAAATCTGGTTATTGTCTGCAAGTCTAGTGTTATATCTGCATCACCATAAAGATGTCCCCAGCTAATCTGCAGAAATTCCTTGTCTCTTCTTCCTCCCTACTGTAAGAACATACACATGGCTGCTTAGCCAGCATTGTGTGCAGACCAGTAATGCTGCAAGATTCAAGTAGATGTGTCTCTTTCTGCTATTTTTTAAAATCACTCATCTGAGATACAGCCGTTGCTAAGCCTGATGCACTGTAATAGAAGCCTTGAACTTATTTGCACTTGCCTTGAGGAAAGATTTCTCAGCGAATCCCAGAGTCAGTAAGATATTAAAATCCTGTTAAAACACAATTACATCCAGGTGCTTTGCCCCTTCATTTTCCTTTGTAAATTTCAATCCATGTTATAACCAAACTTTTAGCAGTTAGATTTTTCTAATGGACCAGTTGGAATGAGCTCATGGTTCCAGTCAGACTGGGGAAGAACAGGGTATGTGATTATAAGATGTAACAGCTGTGACAGAGTTTCTTGACTTGCTTACAGCTTCAGGATAGATGGATCCTGTAGTTGCTGGTGTCAGTGAATGGAAGATAGATATATGTATGGCTTTGAGCTGTCTTTTAGGAGCTCATTGGGATGTCAAGTCAGACAGCTCTGCTTAAAGCAACAGTGATTAGTTTTGATAGCAATGCTGGGTAATCATCATTTCTGTTTTGTTCTCAAACAAGGAATTTCATTAGGGAAAAAAAAAGTCTCAGGCTGTTTTGGTCTGTGCTACTCTGGTATCCTCTACCATTTGAAAAGATGATTACTACTTTGGTTTAAAAAACCTGAATGCAAATTATGTAAAATGAAAGTCAGTGAAGTAAATGCATGGAAGCACCGTAACGTGTCACTTACCACAGTTTGCTCGTCACATGGGGAAGACTTAAGACAACAAAGGTAGGAGAGTGTCATGAATTCTTTGGTAATTATTCCTGTGTTGCTTGTGTGACTACTGTAGTCCTGAGCAGGAAGTACAAGTTAATATCATACATTTGAGTGCAGAAGAGCATCTCTGCATCACTGTACTCCTTTCTATGTGTGGCCAGGCTCAGAAGATTTATGCAGAACACAATGTACATGTTCTGGTTTGCAAACAGTATAGAATGTCAGCTGTGCCAGACTGGGACTTCTACCTTAAAGACTGTTGCAGTTCAGAGGCTTCAGCTGAGACAAGGCGTGGGGGAGAAAAGGAGGGCATTCCTTAGTGCACCACCACAGAAGTAGTGATAGACAGCAGTAGCTGGAAGAGAATTCCAGACCACACAGTGGCCAGAACTATCCAGAAGACAGACAATCTATGAAAAAAAAAAAAAAAAAAAAAATAGGATTCAATGTGGAAAAAAAAAAAAAATCACAAAAGGACCTTCAGGCAGGATTTTCAGAAATTTGTCTGAATATCAGCTCCTAAGTCTTTTTGTATGTATATAAGCAGCTTGACTTGTTTTATCTTGCTTTTTGTCAGTTGAAGAGTGGTTAGGATTTTCTATTTGAATATCATAGACAGGTATACTCAGTACATTCATTGAAAACTTTCTAGCAGATCAAAATTTTACAATTCGGCATTTTCCTGAGAAATGAAAAATGTAGACAACGAATGTGAAACATCCAAGCAGAAGGCTGTGTCTGAAGCAAAATCAGCAAATTCTGCTGCAGTGCCAGTCTGCTTTCCACCATCTTTCATTTCTCGTTCTCAGCTTGAGGGTTTCTGAATCTGTGGCTGCAATAAATGCATAAGCAAACAGGGAGCTTGAAAATTGGTCTCCCAGTTTCTTTTTATTGGAATGTGAATATTCGCTTGAGGTTGGCCATGACATTCTCAGCTCAGAAAAATCAGATTAATCCTACTTTTTGATGTTACTCTTGGGAAAAAAACTCTCTTTTAAACAGATGGTATGAATTTAATCCCTTTGCATTCCATTCTCAAGGATGCTGAAACTACTGCTTGTGAGAAATGCAAGATGCTTTCAAAATGACAAGCAAATATTTGATTTTAAGTTGAGCCTCAGTTTATTCAGTTAGGAAAAAAGTGATGGGTTAGAAAGGAAAAGACTCCAAAATACCTTGCTTGACTTTTTTTTTTTTTTTTTTTAAGCTGAATGAATTCACATTTGATAAGAAGCAGGTGAGCTGTTGAGCCCAACACCTCAGGAAACAATCACCCTTAAATTTGGTCACCACATCCTTATGCTCTTCCAATTGTGTTCTGGAACTGCATGAGCAAATGCAGGCTGTTCCTGTTCGTTTCCCCTGTGGAGTGGATCCCTGCAGGAGCTGACCTCTTCCTCTTCTAATTGTTTTTTTCCGGTTGGTAGCAGGAGTTCTTAAAATACCTCCTCTCTTCTATCAGAGCAGTGCTGGCTTTGCACAGAGCTGCACTCAGCATGGGGCTGATCCTGCTCAGGAAGGCAGCAGCAGTCTGTACTTACCAGTTACTGAGCTGCTGGTGGAGGCAGGAGGTGGCATTTGAGAACCTGTACATCACTGCTGGTGCAGAAGGACGGGTAGAGGGAGAAATCCAACCTTTCCTAATTGGAAGCTTCACCATGGCATTGTGTGCTTTCACAGTTTCCACTCTGAATGGATATCCTGGGTGGATTTATTCAGTAAGTGTACTTCATTTCTGATGCTGCCAAGAAAACAGATTAGGGATTGGTAAGGTCTGTAGGAACAAAAACGTGTTATTACATTGTAGTTTTGAGAAGCAGATGGGTTCCATGTATTTTTGGCAACTGCCAGAGGCTGGAAGAAACAGGATGTACACATCAATTGTGTAAACAGCAGCTTTTCATCTTGAATATGTCAGAGTCAACTTCTTTGATCAGGTACACTGGGTTCTGCTCCTTCCAGGCCTGTAACACCTGCAACACAGTGAGTGAAAAAGATGAAAGAAAGCTGAGTTTGTATTCCAGCCCCTTGAATTGGCCGTGAGCAGCCCACAACCCACAGCATTCTGTGTTTCTTGTGCTTGGTCTGACAATGCAGGAAGGGGAACCTGAAAAACAATCTAGAGCTATACAACAACGCAGGTAAAATATATTACAATTTGCATGTCCACAGGAAAGGATGAAGGCTATATATGTACCTCTAATGGGCTTCAACAATAGTGCCTTTTTCAAGCACTTAATGGCAGTATCTACGGTATGAATGGATGTCTCGTTTTTTGAGGTGTTTCTTGCTCATTCTCCATTATAGCAGTAACAGTAATGTTATGTGGAGGAAAAAAAACAAAAGCACAATCACAGAATTGTAGTGGTTGGAAGGGACTGCTGGAGATCCCCCAGCCCAAACCCCTCTAAAGCAGTTCCCTGGAGCAGATAGCACAGGAAAGTGTCCAGGCAGGTCTGGAATATCTCCAGAGAAGCAAACCACAACTTCTCTGGGCAGCCTGTTCCACTGCTCTGTCACCCTCACAGGAAAGGAGTTCTTCCTTGTGTTTGTATAAGTACAAGTTTTATGAACAAAACAAAGAAAAAAACCGACATGGCTGTGATGCAGGCTTTTTTTCTGTACTTTGTTTACTACTATTATATTTAATAGACATGACAATATATTGAGATCTTTTGTTTGTGTATCTATTTTTGGGTCTTTCCAGGATAAAAACTCATCAAATAAGCTGAGTTCAGTAGACTGTGTCACATCTACTCATTGCGTTTGAGTGTGAGATCTGTCCTGGCTTTAGTCAGGTTGCCTATGTAAAAGAGATGGGATGTATATTTCCAGCGCTGTCTGTGACGTATTGCTGCTTGAGATGTTGATGCTTCCTCTTCCTCATATCCTCATCCTCCAGAGCATGGTTGGAGCAGAGCAATCAACCCATGCTTTGCACCAGTTCCTATATTAGTAACTGAATATATTTAAAAAAACAAAACACGTATGCTGTTTTTTCTATAGCATTGGCACTTAAAATAGGTTCATTGCTACCTTTAACAATGACTGAGGAAGAAAAGCAGTGTTTTTCAGACTTTCAGACAGTGGTATTTCTCAAAATATATTGTATTTCAGGTTATTGCATTACTCCTTTGGATGCTGTTTGGGGAAATGCATGCTGTATGAATAGCTGCAATTTGTAGAAAATGAGTGTTTCTCTTTGCCTCCAAGTCCAAGTTTAATCTTCATTAGGCCCATCGAAAGCAGTGGGTTGTGCTGTGCTCACTGCTAGTAACAGCTGCTTTCTTTGGAAAGTCACAGCAACACTTCGGTGTATCAAATGTCATTGCTATGAATGCGACATGCTGCATCCCTGAGAATAAAAACAGAGTCCTTGCTGCTTGCTCAAAGCACACTTAGCTCTCTCTGCATTTATTCTCTCTGTCATAGTATAGTGGCTGCTGCAGCACTTCCAGTATATATATCAAGTTACAGATTAGTGCAGGCCCCATGGCTCTTGGAACAGCGTGGGTTGTTTACCGATGACATTTATCCTCTCATTTCCTTTTGGAAGTACAACAGTTTCTCGCTTTCTGATGGGGAATGTACTTACAGAACCTTCTCTACATGCCATGGCTGACAATAAACGCTCCATTGTACACTGTCTGCTTGCCATGGAGCTGCTGTTACTCCTTCCAGCACTCAGATTGGCAGGAGCTGGCTTGACAGGAAAGCAGAAGGGTTATTCTAAAGTGCTGCAATCTTCTCTTGCAGGAGGAGACCGAGAGCGGATGACAGCTAATCATGAGACGTATCTTCTTATGGCGAGCACGCAGAATGACATGGAGGATTGGGTCAAGTCCATCCGCAGGGTTATATGGGCACCGTTTGGAGGAGGTGAGTCAGTGAGTGAACATGCAAGGCTCTCGGCTGCACAAAGCAATGTAGGAGGCATTTTGTTCTCTCTCAGTCACAGGCAAAGTTGGAAGAAAAGAATGGTATCTTAAAAAAAAAAAAAAAAAAAAAAAAAAAAAAGTGGAACAAGCCCATTGGTTTAACTTACAGTGCATCTATCAGGCATTCTCCTGTGCAGAGGGCTCTGCTGAAATGCCAGAGCTGCTGCTACTCTTGGTAGGGATGGCATGTTACCAGTATGAGAGGGATGTTGTCACAGAAAATGGGCCTATGAAATCAGATCTTCTCTGGGAGAACTAGGGCAGTTCTTTTAGTCACCAGGTAGAAGACCACCCATGTTTTTCACAAATGCTTGTTATGAGAATTTGTCAGTGATTCTGTTGCCAGAGACAGCTAAGGCCAATGACAATTGTCCAGGCTTGTGGCCCCCAGCAGTAGAAAGGGTGAAACTGTTGGATTGGGCACAGAGGAGAGTCATGAGGATGCTCAGAGGGCTGGAACATCTTTCCTGTGGAGAAAAGTTGAATCAGATGGGCTTGTTCAACCTGGAGAAGAGAGTGCTATGAGGAGACCTCATTGCAGCCTTCCAGTACTTGATGGGAGCTTATAAGCAGGAGGAGGACTGACTTTTTACAGTCTGATAGTGATAAGATAAAGGGAGACATCTTTAAACTAAAAGCAGGTAAATTTAGGCTAGTTGTCTAGGGGAATTTTTTACTCAAAAGGTCCTGGCACTGCTGTCTAGAGAAGCTGTAGATGCCCCATCCCTGGAGACACTCAAGACCAGGTTGGATGGGGTCCTGGGCAACCTGAGCTGGTGTGAGCAACCAGCCCACAGCAGGGGGTTGCGGTCAGGTGAGCTTCAGGATCCCTTTTAACCCAACCATTCTATGGTTCTACAGTAGCCAAACAGCAGCATACACTACTGCTATGATATAAACTTGTCGGTACCTAACAGAAGTGCATTTTTCATAGAGGGAAGCTAACTACACGTTGTATGCGGCTTCCACTTGCATAAAACTGCTCTGTGACACACAGTGGGCCAAGGCAGCCCTGCAGCACTGAGTGGAGAGGTGGGGAGCTGAAATCTGGTGAATCTGCACATAGAGGCTGTGACAAAGCTACAAATAGAAACCAAATCTCCCGAGTCCTGACTCCATGCTTTCTTCATCAGCCCCTCATTTGCTTTTATAGGGCAAGAGCTATTTCTGGTTTGCAGCTGGGAATCTTTCCAGCCACCATGGAAACTCATAGGACACCCTCATTGTCATAGGCGCGTGTAATGCCAATTACCCAGTGAAGTACCTGACTGAGATATTTGCACACTGATCTTCATAAAGAAAGGGAAGACTGCAATCCTTAAATTACTATTTAAGGTCATTTGTAGTTAACATGCTTTCCAAAATGTTCTTTGTTTTTCCCTACGGGACATGTTGAGCATATCTGTGATTTCAGAACTAAGTGGACTGGGAAGTAAACAGTTAACTCCTGGAAAACGTGAGAATAGATGGAAAATGATTTTGGGTTTAATGCTTGTGGAGAATGTCTGGCTGTCATTTCATGGAAAAAGCAGTGTCACGGGAGCTGTCACCGCTAGATCTGTGCAGTAGGATGTCTCCCATTTCATTAATCATTGCTTATTTGATATTGTAAGATATCTTAAGTCATAACAAGCCCTATTAATTGTTATGTGTGAGTGGACATGCTGATATTTTGATTATTCCTACCTACATGGTCATGCCTGTAACAGTCTGACCTTGTTATGGAAGGGTTCCTCTGGCTTCAGGTGTTTAGGAGCCGGTCCACCAACAAATACATAAAATTATTTCAGACAGTAAATTAATCAAAATAGTTCTGTAGCTGTTGCCTAAATTTCAGCAATTGTGGCAAAGCATGGTAGTCTGCTGTCATACAAGTCAAGTGCCACTTTCACCTGCAATGTACTTGAATTTCCTGGTTCTTTTAAGTGCTGAAAGCAAATTGTGTATGTGTTCCATGTGTATTTGTGAGCTGTGCTGAGTCCTCAGTACTTAAAGCAGTGGGAAAGGACTCCTAGTATCGGAGCAAGGATTGCTGTAGATGATTAACTGTATCATTACAATGTTATTTGTTAACCTGTGCTAGAAGGGAGGAACGAGCGGAGGGAGGTAGGAGTCTACTAAGGTGTTCAGAAACAGCCTGTTGGTTTTTTTATTTTATTTATTTACTTGTTTATTTTTTATTGAAGAGCACTGGGGGACTATGGAAAAAATTCTGACGGGGAAAAGCAATGTAAATGAGGCAGGGCATGCAATGCCTGTTTGCACTTGAAATTCCTCTCCTGATTAGACGTAGAAAGGCAATTTTTGCAGAAGGGAAAGGCCTGAGCTTGAGCTGCAGAGCCTGCAGCCACGGGGGAGGGAGGAGGCAAGGAGCGCAGCGCTCGGGTCTGGCAGCTCCTGCGGAGCCAGGGCGCAGACTGCTGCTGCCTCGAGTCAGCCCAAAGTCATCTGGCAGAGCAGGGAGCTGCGCTGCAGCACAGCCCTCCTCCCTGCACCTGCTGCACGCAGCGGCACTGGCTGCCATCGCCCGGCGTGGGAGCAGGAGGCAGAGTGGAGCATCCCCGCGTGTTAGCACGTCTTCCTCACAGCAGCACGGGGTCTTGCTGGCAAGGATGTACTCATGCTGCATCTGACGTCCTTCTCCCACGAGAGCTCCTGGTGGTTCGAAGGCGAGCGAGTGAGGAGCCCACGCCGACGTCAGGGATATAAAAGGTGCTTGGAGAGGAATCCGTGATGGACAGAGAGCCTTTAAGGCGAAGGGGCCACTATTTCTGCTCCTCAGCTGCAGGGCTTATAGGAGCCAGCAAGGAGCATCACATCCCAGAGGACCCTTCAGTGGCCTTTCGGGTATTATTCTCCCCTTTCTCCTTCCACACTGCAGAGCACTGACCTTGTCCTGTGAATCTGGAGTCTCTGCCTCCCGTTCTGGCTAGGTGGAAGGAGACTTTCTGCATCTCTCTGCCGGCACTTCAGTCTGAATGGAAGATATATCTTTCTGCTGAAACTCTTTTGTTGTGACATTGTATAAGAGACAGTTGTCTCACCGCAGGAAATAAACGAAAGGAAACAGAGAGACGGAAGGAAATTGTTCCCCCAAGCAAAATTAAAGCGGGGAAGAGAACATTAAAATTACTTCAAGCTCTCTCTGGTAGTGAGAAGACTGTTCATCTCTTGCTCCAGAGGAAAATATACTGCTTCAAAACTCCTCAGCAGTCAGTGAGGATGAGCAGTCGCGCTGTTTCTGGATGCAGCTGCTAAAGGAGATCTCTGCAGGGCCGTGGGGCTCCGGCCTGTATGATGCCTGAAGACAGAAATGCCGGAGTCCGCAGTCCTGGTGCCTTAGCAGCACCTCCTTTCCTCCCTAAAACTACTTACAGGAAAATTAAGCGATGCTTTAGTTTCCGTAAAGGTAGGTCTGCTCTGTCCCTGTGTTCTTATTGCAGGCAATGCCAAAAGTCGGGGGCTGTGTGTGCAGGCAGATGAGAACACTCAAACAAAAGGCATGAAACAGTGCAGATGCTGACATTTCATGAATGATTTATTTTCCTCTTTGTTCGTTTGTTTGTAGTTGGCCAGCTAATGCTGTCTGCTCTACAGAATAACCCATGGATGGGCCGCCTCAGCGAGGTGGCTGGAGACAAGGTTATTGCAGAGCCTGTGAGCAAAAAGCAGGGAGAGGAGCTGAGGCTTTGGAGCTGAGTGTTGCTGAGTGCTACCTCTCTGGCTTGCAAAATTCCAAGAAAAAGAGTATAGGTTTGTATTTTTGTCTGTGTGGGAGGAGTGGTGAAGAAAGGGAGTAAAGGAGCAGGATAAATATGCACATATGTGCAGAACACCAAGTCCTTGGATTTGGAGATTTCTGATGGACAAAAGTGGATCCCTACAGTGCACTGTCCTGCTGCAGCTGCTGCACTGCCAATTTGCTGTGCTCTCCTGCAGTCTGCACTTGCCTTCCCACCTGCTGCAGAGAGGTTTATAAGGCCATTTTCTGCATTGCACATACACTTGTAGAAGCAGAGCATGGAGGAAGGCAAAGAGGAGGCTGTCTTTCAAAATATGTCAGCTGGAAGGGAAACACACTTTTAGAGAGAGAAAGACACAAGTGATGATAAGGTGCTATGGTGCTGAGGCTGGAGGGGAGGGAACAGAAATTATGCATGGCACTGAAAGCTGTCTGCCCCTATAACCTCCCTCTCTGAGGCCAGAGCTTCCCGTGATTGCTGGAGTTCAGCCCCTCTGGAGGCTGTCCAAGAGGACATGGATATGTCTGTACAAAGTGTGCAGGTGTGTTTCAAGGTGTCAGTGTCAATTAGAGCTGTCTGTGTGCCATTTGTATGCTTGACTATTTGAGAAATGTTTGGAAGTTTAATAAAGGATGGACAGATGATTTTGCAGACAGCTGCTTTTTCACCTGGGGTGCAGTCTTAGCCACTCCAAGCAGAGCTTCAACTGTTTATTATTTCACCATCTGCTTTGACACACAAACTCTTCTTGTCTGAAATCCCAAGTGAAGCTGCAGTGTTTTGGGCAGAGGATTGGATGAGGGGGGTCACGCTGCTAATTTGCTTTCCTCTAAACATCATTTATTTCAATTGCTTTCCTATGTACATGCTCTGTCAAGAGCATTGTCACGTGGCTCCAAGATCAGAGAGTTGCAGAATGCTGGTGTGCATGTTTAACAAGGTCTGTGTCCCACTGGAGACAACAGAAAGATGAATGTTAACTGGACTTTACAGCGTTTTAACAGGCAAATTAGACAAATGACACCACTCTTAGAATTGGCTTCAGGAATTCTTCTAACTTCATTTGCAGACTCTACACCTCAGTGAAAATGCAGGCAGAACCAGCCTTCTGCAAACCAGTATAAAACAGATTGATTGGTTCTAAGCTGTGCAATACAGCGCAGAAAATAAAATGAACAGGAAGAGCCATTGGCTGGTCACTGGGAGAACTGCATGATATTGTGCACTGAGGCAGAGATGCACCACCAAGGTGATGCAAGGTATGGAATCTCAGCTGGAAATTCAGATGAAAGCTGCGTTGTGTTAGTCCCTGAAAAATGAAATGTCAGAGATGTTTGGAGGTCACCTCAGTTATGAGAAATAGCCTCTCACTGGGTGGCATCTGAACAGAGACACAGCCAGGTGTCTCTGAAACCTGTTTCAGGGAAAGTGCTCTTTGTTTAAGTAGCACCATGGGAACCTCCTGTGGGCACATGCAGGATGAGTGCAGAAAGGAATACTAAGGGTGACTTTGCTGTCACATGCAGGGGTGAGAACACTCAGGATGCACCAGAGTGAGCCAAACGCGCGTTGGCCACGACAAGAGAAGGGGGTAGGGGTCCTGATCTGACTGTGATGAGTTCCTGGTGACACTTTACAAATTGCCTTCCTTCCTTTCCAGCACGTAGCTATTTCTGCTCTTTCAGAGTTGTATTTTTTGTAAGCAGTAACATCAGACATGCAACTGTGCTCAGCTCCAGGAGTGGAACCTCATCTACTGCCAGTGTTACATTGACTGTGGGGTGGGAAAAGGCTTGTTGGTAAGAAAAAAAGTCAGGCAGGAACTAAATTCTGCCATCACTGTGTCTTGGTGTTTGTGTTTCCATTGAAAAGCTCTGTAGAGAAGAAGGAAATACTGTTTGCCTTTGATCCATTCAGAGCAGCACTTGATGCTGGAGAACAGCAGAATAGACATCTGGTAAGAAACAGCAATTTAGAACTCTGTACAAAGAGTTACTGTATTCCCTACCTTGCTGTTGAAGTCCCTCCATCTCATCTTTTCTATATTTTCAGTGTCATTTAATTACTAATTTGAAGTTGAGGGATACCTAAAGTACTCTTTCAAATTCCAAGCTGAGATGAGCTCCTTAGACCTTTACTGACCTTTTCTAGTCGCTATGGCCCTTAAACTATGAGCTTGTTTTGGAAAGGAGATTGGTTCTGGTGCACAATGTGTAGAGATAGTGTATGCTGTGATGGAGCTGGAGAGGCAGGTAGGTTTTTTCAAGCAGTTGGCATGGAGTGAGGTGCCAGAACTGCCACTTTTATCTCTTTCTTTTCTTCTTATGGATCAGCAGACTTGAGATGTGGCCTCTTACTTTGTTCAGTAGAAACAAAAATCATTGACTAACAGCTTTCTTGTTTTTAAAAACATGCTCTGAGTAAGTACCGTTGAAAATATCCCCAGTGCTTACACAACTCTTGAGCAGACATAAACAGAATTTGGGTATAGCATTGTAATGTCTTTCATAAGCTTTATGGAAGCTTAGAAATCCAGTTTCTCAGAGGGTTTACAAAACTTCTGCCACGGGAATGTTCTAGTTAATGAATAACCACTCTGTGTGCCCTTTGCTATCATGTGATTTTCCTCTTTGATGTTATGCATGATGTTGGCTTAATTGGATGTAGCTTTAAGACCTACCAGGGCCTCCCTGGAAAAGCAGTTCTGTTGATTAAATCTAAAGACTGGTCAGAACTGGAAACATGTACATTTAACTGCCATATTCCAGCTGTGGGGCAGACAAGCAAGCTGCTGCCATTCCGAATGTCAGGTTTTCTTGACACCCTATCCTTAGGATAGACCGAAACCATGGATCAGCACTTGTGTATCTTTGTGTTTCTGGATTTTGGAGACTCTGAGATTTAGAAACACTTGGATATGGATTGCAACATTGAGGGCTCCTTCATTTTCTTCATGGAAGTTTTGTTCTTTACAGTAGTAGAAACGTTTCAAAAAAAAAAAACATCATGTGAAATTATTTCTGTGGCTTTGGTCATGATGTACTCTCAATAATTTGGACCATCTTTTCACTGCTTCTCTATACAGGAGTTGCCAGTATTACAATGCATAGCTAATAGTGTTCAGCTTTCCTCTGCTAAGCACTATTAACAGTGTGTTGGTAACTACACTTCAGAGCATTGTCTTTGCTTTGTCATCTTAGTCTTCGTGAACTGCCAATCTGCAGTATCTCTGTAGTAGTTACTTCTGATGTAAGAACCTGAGAAAGATGGTGCAAGAAAAGGAACCTTTACAGGGCAATGATCTTGGCTTTTACAGTAAACAGTAAAAAAGCCCAACGTGAAACTGAAAGATAATGAACAAGATAAAAGTTAGGACAAAACCTGTGGGAGCAGCGTTGTCATGTTTCTGCCACTTCTGCCTCTGGCAGCGGAGTGCTTTTTCCATAAGGCATCAGCAAGTCTGCAACTTCGAGTCAATATTTATGCAGGCTTATCACAACCAACTCCTTTCGTGGCTAAGTGCTGCCTGGTGCAGTGTTCTGCATTCAGTAGGTGAGGAAAATATTTCCTTTGGAGAACTTCAGTCTGCACTTAGGAATCAAGCAAAGCCTGCCTGAGAGAAATGCCAGAGCCAAACAAATTGGAGAACACTGAGTAGAGTAAATGGTGATTTTAGGAGTGCTTAAATGCGTAGCAGGGTGATTTCCCATTGGTTTTCCATGAGACTGAGATCTTAACTTCAGGTTACTGCATGGTTGTCAAAATCACCAACTAGCTATGGGATTCCCAAAGCAGAGAGTGGAGAACCTCATGCCTCCGAGGAAGTACAGTATTATCTCCATTCATACAGTAAGAGAGCTGAGTTTCTGAGGGTTAATCTGGGATGTGAGGAGTGGGGCGTATGGACCCCTGCGACCCTAATTATGGACATGACCAGATGGGATGCAACTGTGTTCTGAGGGTCATGTAGGATCTGCACCCAATCTGTCAAATCTAGACAACTGCTGTAGTTATTCTGCCTCTACCCCAGGGCATTCTCAGCTATGAGTATTTTAAGTGTCTGAATGAAAAAGTCCCAAAATCTGTAAAGCACATTCCTGCAGCCAGTAGTAGAAACAGTTGTGTTTACACTTTAGGTAGTAAAAGTGGGATTTCAATAACATCACTCATCACTTCTCCATCACACTAAATTGTGTAGATTTTGTTTGTTTTATTTTAAAGTTTTTTTTCTTCAGTATCCCTGAATTGCTGCTACAATACAGATCCAAGGTAGTCATATTCATTTAAAGTATATCACCTTTAGTATGTGAATCTGTTATTACTTTCTGTGTGTGTTCAAAAATACTGGTTACCTCAACTTACTGGGTGTTTTAATGCTTTGTGGTTGCCAGCTCTTTTAAATATACTGCAGCTTGTGTTGGGGTGCATCAGCAACTTATAACATTGTAGGCTTTTTTTTTATTATTATTCCACAGCACAAAATCCTTTATTCTAATTTTACTCACTGTGCATTAGACATGTTTTGAAAGCCAACACTAGAAAGAAAGAAAAAGAGACAGAATGAAAATGTGTTAATATAAAGTTATGATATTTTGACTCTGGTGTCATTACTGATAGGAGTTTCAAAGCAGTCTGGTAGGTTTGAGAACTTATTCTTTCTCCTACAAATTCTAATCTGGTCTGCAAAATGTATGTTATTGAAAGGAATGTTAGCACAAAGAGAAGAAAGTATGGCTAATGAGACAGAGCTTATTCATACTGATTTTACTGTCAGTGGATGTGCAATGTAATTGCATTTCATATGTACAATTATGTGTACATCATATAATTGGAATATTTGCATTTTCTGTTGATCAATTTTGTTTGAAAAGAATGGGAAATTCTTGTTTAAAAACAAACAAACAAACAAAAACAAAATAAGAACTCTGAAGGGTTCTTGAAGGGAAGCTCTGACTGTATTTTCATAGGCCAAACTCAGAGGAGGAGGGCCAAGTTCTGCACCGAGGTGTGGGGGAGCTGGAGCACATGCTGTTTTGATACAGGCAAAGGAAATGGCATGTGTTTTGCCGGGGAAAGGGATAGTCTTGCAGGTAGAACAAAATCTCTTTCTCAGGTTGTAAGAGAATATTGTTAGAATAGAGCTAGACTTCTCGTGGTAGTGCAGGGGGGGAAGGATTAGAGACCCTGGGCATGCATTGAAACAGGAATGTTTTTCACAGTGACAGTCAGTTATAGGAACAGGTTGCCCAGAGAGACTGGGAACCATTTTTGAAGCTGTCATGTGCCACTTCTTTCATCTGCCCATTGAACTGTGCCACAGAAGGCTCAAGCAATAAAGAACTGGTGTTCACTGGAGTTTTTCACATCATCCCATTACTGAAAAATGATGTAGGCTTATTTCAGTGGATGTAAATGGTTGCTTATTTTTGGAAGGATGTGTTTCTTTTAACAATATCTCAGAATGTCTAGACTTTAAAATTCAACTTCAGATTTCTCAGGGGTGATTTCTGATCTGATTTCCCTAAAGATGCTACGTCTTTGGATGAAGATCTTGGATGCCATCCCAAATGCAGAAGAGGCTTTGAAATCACCAAGTTCCTGTATTCACACTGATTCCTTAATTAACTTTCAGTGGATCTTATCCTAAATTGTACTTCATTTAGAAAGAGAGTTTAGGAAGTGGAGGGATTGAGGGTTTCCTCTGTGCTGACCAGCAGAAACCCTTAAGTCAGACAGGTACAGGAAGCCCAAATTTATGTAACCCTCCTGCCATGCCCATAGGGAATTTGCAAGAGATTTGGGAGGAATGAAAGAAGTGGGAAAACATGATATCATCTGACAGTGTGAAGAAGCTGAGCTTTAATGGACACTGAATATTTATATCATTCAGCATTCTTCTAAGCTTTTCAATCTGAAATTCAATCTGAAATTTTAAAAATTCATTCTTTAATTGAAAATATCGGGCTTTTGATTTTTGTACAACATGGGGAAAAAAAAGGGAGGCTAATGAAGTGTGACTGTAATATTTTGTTCCCCCTCCACTGCTATTTTTGGCAGCCACACATAGGAGCTGCATGAATATCACAAAATGTGATGCTCTGCATCTCAGCCTAATTTCTGAGCTCTTTTTAGCTGGACATATATATTCTCTCCAGTCATTCTCTGTTATCTTAAAAGTAATTGCACTTAAATACAAATCCCAGACCCTCAGGATGGGTGTCTGACAGTTTGCTGTAACATCTTGGATCACATGCACGATAACTTTCACTTCAAGGGCAGGTGTGAGATATCATTTCTTTTGTTGCAGGAAAATCGTGTGCACTGAAGGTAACTCTGGAGAATGCTTCAGTCTGCATCCTGCCTTAGCTTGTGGTTACTTACTCATGTCTGCTAATTTGGGAGTGAATTAAGTTCTTTGGATGAGAGGCAAATTCTGTGAATGAAATTCTTGGGGTGAAAGCTCAATTCTGTGCTTCCTTTAGAAAAAAAAACAAAACAACTCCATTCCTCATCTTGAATATTTTTAAATTGGTACAAACTGTGTGCTCAGTGAAGGGCAGAATTTGTCTTATCGCTTTTCTTCCTCTCCTCCCCCATTTTATGACATAAGTAATTGCAAAAGGAGTCTTTCAAGTGTAGGTAGTTATTTGGTATTTAGTTTCTTATCATGGCTGCCTTAGAACTGCTCATTGTGCTGCTATATATAGAAAATGAATTGCCATGCTCCTGCCCCAATTCTTGTCAACAAATGGTCTCGAGGGAGAGCTTCCATCACAGATGATATGCCTGAACATTGCTGTGATAATACCAGTGATGGCTGACTCTGCAGCTTGAAATGGAGGGAAAATAATTACCAAACACTAACTGTCTTTCCAGTGCCCACAATAATATTGTCAGATCAGGGTTGAAGTTAATTCTTTCAGTAAAGTTCTGTGTTCTGCTCATGTTAAAGCCAAATGCTAGCTTCCTGTGGTTTGTCTGACGTATTTCACCTTTCATTTCATGATTTATTTTTTTTTCATACGCCATTTATAGTTGCGGAAGTGATAATGCAGCTGGTAAATTATAGGAATGATCTTTGCTTAAGTGGTGAATTGTAATTGATGGTTTGGTTCAGAACAAATGAAATCCCAAGTTATATTTATAAATCTTTTCCCTTCTGCATGTAAAGATAATGTTTATATGTCATTGAAACTCACATGGAAACTACTTAATTTTATATACGTAATTAGACATGAACCAAAGTAAACGGAGGTATGCATCACTTTTGAATCAGCAGTTTTGTGACAGAGAATCCTATTTATAGTATTTCTATGAATTTTGTCCCTTTGGTGTAAAAAAAAAAATAAAAAAAAAAATAAAAAAATAAAAAAAAAAGTAAATCATTTTCAGGTTATTTTTAATTTTTCTTTTAAAATAATGTTTGATAGCATTGTCGCAAAATGTTTCCATCATATTTCTGTGAGGGGATCAAATGTGCAATGGAACCATTTATCCTTAAGAGAGGGGTGGATTATTGTCCGTGCATTGAAGTGAGCCATAGATCTCATGGGTTGCAGGAGAAGACAAAGGCTCCTCATATCATTTGGTGAATCACAGCTGAGTCCTACCTCTCTTCACACAGGTATTTTTGGCCAGAAGCTAGAAGACACTGTGCGATATGAGAAGCGCTATGGGAACCGCCTGGCTCCCATGCTGGTGGAGCAGTGCGTGGATTTCATCCGACAGCGGGGGCTGAAGGAAGAAGGCCTCTTCCGACTGCCTGGGCAGGCTAATCTTGTCAAGGAGCTGCAGGATGCATTTGACTGTGGAGAGAAGCCTTCTTTTGACAGGTAAATCCTTCTGGCTGTCTCCCATTCCCTGAAGCCTGGACAGAACACAGAGATCTGCTGCTGGATGACCCATGTTACTGGAAAACATGTGGCATGGCAGAGAGAATGAGTGCTTTTACATTTTTCTTCATGTTTCCTATTATAAATGTAAAATTTTCATTTCTTTCTGACTTTGAAGTTTAATTTCAAAGCATTTCTGGAGAAGTTTCATTTAGAAATCGTATCATTAATGTCTTGGATTAATCAAAAAGCTTTTATATTAGTTTCATTTGAAATGCAGAGGTTTAGTCAGTTCAACAAAGGAAGAAGTTGTCTTATCTCCAATTGTGATATGTTCTGTTACTTATAAAACCGAAGATCGCAGTGACCATGCTAGTCAACCTCATTAGTTTTGGGTCCAGGTCCAGCTTGTGTTCTAGTATTCATATAATTTTGCAAAGCTGATAAGAGTTTTATGAGCCAAGAGCCCAATACACTCCTGTAGATGGCTTCAACATGCAAGGTCAACATTTTGTGTAAATTCAGCTCTCCTGCCATGAGCACTGATAGCAATAGTTTGTATATGCAGAGGGTGCAGTCAGAGAAACAGAACCTGGGGATTATGAATGCCCCAATCCCTTTATTAAACTCTGTATTTAGAGTTTATACGATGTTAATAAGATTTCAGTATAAAGGACTGATAAACAACTGTTGTCCTTGATGTGTGCTTTAAGTAACACACAAATATACTTCCTAAATGGAACTGGGATCCTTCATCCCCACTGAAGGCCTGATCTGCATTAGGAGGAAGAAGCAGAACACATTTACTTTATGGGACCTTTGACTGATAGCAGTACAAGTAACAGGAAGAAAAGCACAGCTTGATATTCTAGTGCAAAAATATGCCGTGGTATGAACCTGATGGAAAACATTTACCTCCCTACCTTCCCTGCTGCTCTGAAGTGAGCAAATTTGATATGTATGGAGATATGTGTTTTTCACAGATGCACAGAAGGCAGACATCTGTAGCTCTGTTTTATCTTGAACAGCTTCCTCAGTTTTGACCCTCACTGTGATAAATGGCAAGAACTTATAATGCTGTGGAAAGGAAAAGTGATTGTTTTCATTCAAGATTTATTAATTCCACATCAGTGAATTATCACATCAGAGATCACATCAGATTATCACATCAGAGATCAGGTGAGAGTTAAGATGACTGACTAGCAAACAGTTTTATGCAGGAGGACTCTAGGAAGTCTGAGTACCATGATCAAGCTGTGGATGTCCCCGTTCATTGCAGGTGAGTTGGACCAGATGACCCATAAAGGTCCCTTCCAAGTCAAATGATTCTATGATTCTGAGATGACTTAGCTGGTAACCATTTGGAGTATATTTACTGGCTGTTCAAATACTAACAGTAGAAAATTACAGTAACCAGGCACTATTTGGAGATCTTTTCCTTTCTTTGACGTTAAGCTAAATACTGCTGGTCACATCCTTATATCTCTACTGCAGATGCAAGTGGGCAAATGCCAAGGGATAAAGAAAACCAATAGTTTGGTTTTTTTCAAGCATTTGTAAGCTGTAAGATTGTGGCAGAAATGTTAAGAATAAACTGCCCTCAGACTCCAGGAAGATGATGCACTGAACACCCCACTGAGGGGTTCGAGCTGAGATACAGCTTGAAAGAAATACAGAGGGTCTATCTGTTCCAAACAAATGAGACCAGGGATCTTGCATAATTATTATTTTTTGCCAACTTATTTAACAGTATCTGTAGCACACACTAATGAGACCTAGGAATAGGCATACCAGTTGAATTTAAGCAGATGAAATGGAGACAAGATTATACGTGTCACTGCTGTGAAGTAGGCACATAATGTCTACTCTGGTAACGAGGAACATGAGCAGGAGTTACTTTTAGATGTCTGGTACTGCGGTTCTTCTGAAGCTGAGGATTTATAGAACACTAGCTTTGTATGCCTGAATGTCCTGGTTTTGAAGAGTTATTTTTCTGATTGTGTTTTCACATTTGAACTTGGAGATGATCTGTGACTGTAGCTAGTGTATCAGAAGTCAGATTTAAATTCTGCTCTCACCTCTGCCATTGGGCACCTTCTTTTATTGTACAATCTTTTGTTACAGTTGTATGCTTTGGAAATGGAGCTGGTTTCACAGTAGAGCGTTGTTTGGATTTGGGTAGCCTTTCTTTTTGTTCTGCTGAACAGCAGCATGATCTTCAGGTTCGGTGGAATTGGTATGGAAAGCTGAGCTCTTGTAGAGTAGCCACAAGCTGAAAAGTTGCTGTACAGAAAAGAAGAATGTATGTTAAGGGGAGTCACTGCTTAGTTCCTCTTATGGAGTTTGAGATCTACTGTGTTTATTTTGTAATTATCTGTAGTTACAAGTGTAGTAGTGCAAGATATACCTGGGTTTTGTTTCTTAATCTCCCTTCTGTTATTCTTATGCATTGATGGTAGTAAAGAGTTAGCATTTAGAGCTTGGATGACAGTTTTGTTTGATGGGACAAAGAACAATGGAATCCAGGTCACGCTTCCATAGCAGTGCTGGGTCACTAGCTCCGACTGGGACAGAGACTAGCTGCTACTGGTACTGGAAGTCATACAAAGAGCTGATGTTTGAGCAATTTGCCATTTTTCATGGTGACATTTTTACTGCATTTAGGTGCACGTAAGTGAAACAAAGGCTTTCTAACAAAGGAAGTCACTGTGAAATGTGTATGTACACGTGTATCAGTTTCTTCATGAAATAAAAATATTAATAACTAATCCTTCTTTTCTTTCTGCTGTATTAGCTTATTCACTAAAGATAGAAAGCTTTTTTAGAAGCAGGAAGAAAAATGAAGGTAAGGTTTTATGGCTAGAATTAGTGCTTTTTCAGAATTTTGCCTCTCTTTTAAGATACAGCTCTTAAAACACCTTATGGGCACAGGGAGATGAAGTTCAGATGCACAGATGTCTTTTTCTGTCCAGTGACCTTGAGGTAACTGCTGTCTTCAGTTCTATGGACATCCTGCCCTTCTTCCCTCCTATGCTCTTGTCTGTGCCCATTTGACTAAGACAAATGAAGCAGAAGGAGTATGGCATGTTTTAAAGAAGTAAAAGTGAAATTTCTAAAACTTGCAGAATGGCAAAATCCAACATCCATCTGAAACATCCAGTGTCCTAGCTCTCTGCAGTGAAAACTAGCACATCAGCATTTCTTGTAGTCCTTGAAAGGGAAGGTATAGTTGCTAAAACAGAAAAATGCTTATGCCTTTTGTATGAGGAAAATAAATAATAGTGAGAAGTGTATATGTTGGTTAAAAAAAATCAATAAATGTGTCACTCTGTATGTATGTGAGTCTATACACATACTGTCTGCTTTCTGGAACTAGTGCTGCAGTGAGGCAATCATTTGTACTCACTGCTGTTTGAAATATTTGCATCTCTATGTAGAATTGTCTCCTTCAGGGAATCCACTTTGCTCGTCAGTGGGTTGGAGATTTCCCTCTTTTTGTGTGGCTTATGTTTTAAATTTCAAGTACTTCTCCTGCATTACAAATCAGACATTTGTAAAGATACAAAGTGGATTATAAGTATTTGGTTGGTAAAATTAGCATAGCATCTGCATAAAGAAAATAACAATAAAGGTTTGTTTTGCAGTTTTTACATAGAAAGGAACAAAAATTGGTTTCCTTTTTTATATCATCTCATTTCATCTCCTGTCCAGTTATTACCAGAAGACATGACAGTAATCATTTCTCAGGGAGAAAAAAATATTTGAAATGTCCCCGAAATGGATATTAAGCATGATTAAGATATTGAGGGTATTAATCCATGTTTGTGGCTTGGATTTTCACAACTATCATAATCTATGTACATAGCCCTGTGATTCAGTGGAGTTCAGAATTATTGAGCTTATGTGTCTGCATCTGTGAGCATGCACAGGAGAAAAGGCAAGTACATGCTTGCACATTTAACAAAGCAAAAACCCTGTTACATCCTCTCGTGTATCAGTTCCTTTTGAGAAGAATGCAGTGTATGATAGGATAAAATACTCACTGTTACTCTAGTCGCCATTGCCATTGTCTTGAGAAAGGGATAAGGTGGCAGTATGCAGTGGCTGACAAATATTAGCTGTTGCTCGCTGGAATCACATAATCCAGAACATGGAACTGAATGTATCCCTGTGCATTTAATTACTGGGACTGTCAAACAAAAGTAGGTGATTGATAAGGATTGTACAAAGAAGGTCATTCGAACAACATGCACAACTCTATATATAGAGAACTGCACTGCCTACTAATCATTATTTCATCCCCTCACAGTGAGGGCATAGTGAAAGGATACTACTAACTAATTTCAATTCCAAACTTGACCTGACTGAGTGATTTTAGGATAGGCTCCTGTAAACTCCATGTGTCTGCATGCATCCTGAAGCTGGTGAACACTGCATGTGTTTTAAGGAAGACAGGGAAGATGCAGTGCATCTGGGAATAGTGGCTAAAGGATAAACTTGGCAAGGACACTAAATTTTATTTTCAACCTGTTGAGCAGATGAGACCAGGGAGAATGAATAAAGTAGAGCTATAAAGAAATACTCTGGTCCCTGCTGGAATAATTATGCTGTGTTTTGTGTATCTTTTCTGAATTAAGGTACAACAACTGAATATTAGAAAAATCTAGCAAGGCAAATGTTTTGTACCATGGAAGTAACTGTGCTTCCAAAAAAACTCGGCATTTTTTAGCCCTGAGGCAGTCATCTATCAATATCCTTCAAGCTTTTAGGGCTTAGCAGTTCCCCGTAAAGCTGAGTTCTGGGAGGTGAATGTGTGTGACATCTGAAAGCATAATGCTGAAGTATTTTGATCTTTTTGTTCTTTGCAATGTACTACTAGCATTGTTGTAGTACGTGGAAAAATGTTAGGGGAGAAAAGAAAGACACACCTTTGTTTGTGATTCCTTTAATTGCCATTAAGGCTGATTGGTGTTTTTTGAGGAGATATCACCCTCCTCAGA